AAGGGAAAATACCCTAAAAATGTTTAAAATTTCATGCATTGCATTTTAGGTTGTTATTTATTTTTTTAAGGTTAAGACGCTAATTAGTTATTATTAAAAAAATCACAAAAAATAATGTTTATTTTAACATTTTTAGCTTTTAGTGTTAAATTAGTAATTTTCTTTCATTAATTAATTTGGTAAATAGTATAAATGGATAATCAGCTTAATTTTACAAATTAGAATGATTTAGGATTTTATTTAATTTAATTAGATTTTAAATCAAATTAATGCAAAACCGGACTAGGCCAGTGTTTAAACCAATCCCAATCCCAAAAATTCAATTCAAAAATACCCAAGCCCAATACCCTCTAAACCAGTCCAGCTCGCCACTTAATTAAACGACATTATTTAAGAGCCAGGGATCCTGGCCGTTGATCTTCAATAGATCCAAAGATCTAGAACTAGCCTGGCATTTGACATATATATGTCCTAACCCTTTCTTACCCCCCTCATTTCAAACCCCTCACTCTTTCATAGCTCTCTCTCTCTCTCTCTCAGCCGCCCCCAAAAACTTAGCCGCCCTAACACCCTCATCCCAAACCCTAGCCGCCTCTCCGCCCTCCGCCTAGAGCCGTCGCCGGAAATCGCCTACGGCGGCGGCGACAACTAAAACCACCCCAAATCCACCCTATATTCTCTCTTCACTCTTCCTAAACCTCACCCCAACAATCAAACCCCAAAAAAACCCATAAATTAGTGAATTTCAAACCTAAAACACCCCCAGAAATCCTAGCCCCGCCATACACCGCCACCGGAAATTGTCTATGACGGCGGCGGAACCCAAAAACCACCCAAACTTACCCCATACACTCCATTACCCTCCTAAATTCTACCATACCAACCGATCAACCAAAAACCCCTACCGAAATCCCCAAATCATAAATCTAAAAATCCAAAAACCCTAGAGCTGCTACCGAAAATCGCCTATGGCGCCGGCAAAACCCTAAATTCGCCTAAACTTCTACCAGACAACCACCACATACCCCAAAACCCCAATCTACCTATAAATCCCAAAAGTACCCCACTGAAAACTCCAGATCTAAGATTTTCAAAACCTGACATGTTGAGGTTCTTCAGGTTCATTCTTCATGTTCTCTTTCTCGGAAATGGTTCTTGGCCCGATCGCTTAGAAATTCACAAAGATGCCCCTCGTTGAACAACTAGGCTACCTCTTCTCTAAGTTCCCTGCAATCCTCGGTCATATGCCCATATGTACCATGATACTTGCACATCAAGTTGGGGTTCCTCTAAGAAGGATCGGTCTATATATGTTTGGGCCATCTAGTATCTCTAATTTTGCGAATGGTTGAGACGATACCTGAGGCATCGACGCTGAAGTTGTACTCTGATAATCGGGGTGCCTCCATCGGTCCCAAGTGCCTATCAAACCCGGTTTTGCTAATGAGTCCCCGGGAACTTAGACCTCGATCTGTTCTTCGATCATTCTGAGGTATGTTACGCATTGAAATGTTCCTTCCATCTTCAACGTATGGATAATATCTTTCCTTATTCGACCTTGACGCCCTGTCTGCATTTCCTGACTCCTTTGCTAGTAACCTGCTTAGATAAACTAAGCCCGAGGGGCCTCCCAATTGATCATCCTCGACTCTAATTTTTGATTGGTACCTATTATGCACACCTGCCCAAGTCATGGCGGGATACTCGATCAAGTTCTGATTCAGTTGCTTCAAAGTTATCGAACTTCGTTCATTTAGCCCCTGAATGAAGGCTTGTACGGCCCAGTCATCGGAGACTGGTGGTAACTCCATTCGTTCTTACTGGAAACAGGATACAAACTCTCTCAGCATCTCATTCTCCCTTTGCTTTATTTTGAATACATCGGACTTTCTTGTTGTAACTTTTATGGCACCGACATGTGCTTTTACAAATGAGTCTGCCAACATTGCAAATGATTCAATAGATTTCGGGGGTAAGTTATGGTACCAAATCATGGCACCCTTAGACAGAGTTTCCCCAAATTTTTTTAGTAAAACAGACTCAATCCCACCGTCTTCCAAATCATTTCCTTTTATGCCACAAGTACATGTGGTGATGTGCTCGTTGGGATCAGTGGTCCCGTTGTATTTTGGGATATCTGTCATCCGAAACTTCTTCGGGATGGGCTTCGGAGCCGCACTCTGGGGGAATGGTTTTTGCACGAACTTTTTCAAGTCCAGTCCTTTCAAAATCGGAGGTGCTCCCGGTATCTAGTCGACCCTTAAGTTGTATGTCTCCACCTTTTTGTCATTTTCTTCAATCTTCTTTTCTTCGGTCTCGATCCTTTTGGTGAGCTCTTCGAGCATCCTCATGATGGTGGGGTCATTCCTGGAGTTATTTCCGTTTGATCTCTCCGGTTCTGGTTCTGGTTCAGCAGGTCGAGTATTCTCATGTTCATCTACGCTCGGGGTCCTATTTTGACTCTGAAGTTGAGCGATGGCGATTTGTTGAGCCTGCAACATCTCAAATATCACTTGGAGGTTGATCCCCTCATCTCCCATTCCTTATGCTCTTTGGTCATCAGATCGAGCTTCCCTGCGTTCATTCCCTACGGGATCTGTGCCTGAGTCCGCGTTTAGAGCATTATCTGAACTGATATCAACTGGCTCCAAATTTGGCACTTTCTCAAGGTTGATTGGTGGTACACCAACCCTATCCGAGACCGTCGTTTCCATGCACATGTGTGTTTGCTGAGCTAGACATATCTTAGCCTGAAATTAAAGAATCTTTGACCAGAAAAAGTGTGAAGAATAACGTATGTTATCAAAAAACTAGCACTAAAATAATCGCTATTATCTTTAGTCCTATGGTGGGCGTCAAACTATTTACCTCGAAAAATATGAGTAACAATTAAAGGTGATTTGTGGCTTTAAACATATGTGATTTATTCCAATACTAGTGAATATATAAGTAATATTAGGGTTAAGTAAGAAGAATTGATGAACCAAACCAGTGTTATTAGAGCAACGGGGACCTCGAGCTTGATTATCTCGAGTGCCTCGAGGTGAGTTAAGAGCAAATAAAGTATGAACAATAAAGTAAAAACAATAAAGTTGAAGAACAATTGTGGAGCGCAGTAAATAAGAAAAGCACAGTAGAATGTTTTATTACAGTGAATGAGATGATCTTTACAAATGATTGGGGTCCCCTTTATATAGGAGGGAAAACCCTAATATGGTACATTTCCAATTATGGTAAAGAATTTTATTGGTACAGTTGTATAACAACATAGTACGGACTCGTACTATTTCGTACAAATCTTATCCCTTAATTTATGCCCTAATCCACATGTCCTTGAGAAATTCCCGCTCTTTCTTGAGTGTCATCGAAATTGTACTGTCTTCAAGGCAGATCATGACGGGTCTCCGATTTGCTTCTCAAGGTGCGTATATTCCGGCCAGGCTCGATTCTTACTTCGAGCTTCCGAACTCGAGCTCAGGGTATGATCAAGTCTTCGAAATCGAGCTCTCCGATTTAGACCGTATACAGCAGCTAACCCCTCTCATATTTTGTCCATGTCAGCTTTCTAGTCAGCAAGTCCTACTAAATTAGTAAGACACATCTCCATAAACTTGACCCATTCTACCCAATTGACCCAAGTGTAGGTGGTGGACATGCCTTAAACTACCATTTCCACTACTAGAATAGCTAGCTAATTCGTCCTCAATGGGCAACTTATGAAAAGATGAGCTATTAAAAATTGCAGCAACTAAGTACGGGGTCTCTGATGTTACTTAGTAGAAGAACTCAAAAAAAAGTGACAAATAGGCAATACTAACTGATTCCTCTTATTATTTTGAAAATAATGTAAAGATTCTCATTATTCTCTAGATTTTCAGAGATCCTAAATATATCTATCAGCTTACGGAAGAAATTAACTCAGTTTGATTCACCTATCAAAAGAGCAAAACGCTTCTCTTGTTCCCCTTTTTTGGGATTCTTCATTCTTTTTCTGGGGGGTTGGGTAGGGGTGTCAATGGTTCGGTTCAGCCGGTTATTTTATAAAATTTGTACCATACCAATTTTTCGGTTATTCTATTATGTATAACCAAAATTAGACTTTTCGAAACCGTCTCAATCATGTCGGTTTCTCTTCGGTATCGGTACGGTTCGGTTAATTTTCGGTATTTTTTTAGTATCATGTAAAATTCACCAGTAGAAGTAGAATGCAATAACATACATTCTTTTAGCAAAACTCTCTAGATATTTTTACTGTTTAAAGGGTAATGAATTATAAAAGAAAAAAGAAAGATGGCTAGAGTATAGATCCATCAACTATTCTACAACAATGTAAAAGAAACCAAACAAAGCAAAGAAAATATAAATCACACGGGTTGAAAGATATACCAAGTTGGGACTCAAGAATAAAGTCTATAGAAGATTAAATATTCAAAAAGATAAGTCTAAATTATATGAAAGAAAACATATTCAATACATTGTAGTTTGTTACTCATAATCGCTAGAATACTTTGTGTCTTTCTAATAGAGATACTTGAAATAACTTAGTTTAAGTAGAAGTAGCATAATAGGTTTTAGGAATTAATATTTTGAGTTTAATTAATTATTGGCTTGTAATAGTTTTTATAATTCCAAGGTCCAAAGAAAATTTAATGCATTATTATTTTTAAACTTACTAAATAAATATATTTTTCACATGTAAAATTTATTCGGTACGGTTTGGTATTTTTTCGGTTTATTTTTATAAAATAAAAAACTTACTCTAATTATCGACGCGATTATAGATCTATATAAAAACCTATGGTTTCTTAAAAAGAAACCTAAAAATCGATTTGGTGCGGTACGATTCGGTCAGTTTTTAGTCGATTTTCGAATATCCATTGAGGAACGCCTTTTTCTTTCGTCCTACATATATCATATATTCCTTAAGAGTGCACCACCAACTTGAATACAGTATTGCACTTTGCATAAAGAATATCACAAATAGTAGAAAGGACTCGAAGGCCTCCGGTTATCCCAAGACAGTTATATGGATGAAAGAGGTAGTGAGGGAAACTGAGGGGGTCACTAGAGATAATGCCAAAGTTTCGAGGGGCATAGGCGGATGAGGCGGTGCTACGGCGGAAATAGGTTTTGAGGTTAAAGGGCTCATGCGATGAGTAGTTGGGTGGTGAAAATGGTGGTGTAAAGCAGGTCCAATGGATCAAGTTTATGGAGATGGATCTTATTAAGTTGCTAGGACCTGCTGACATGGACAAAATATTACAGGGGTTTGACTGCCACAGTAGAAGGCCAACCCCGGTGGCAAATGGGGCAAATGTAAATAATATACAAAAAAGTATAATGGGGCAAATGTAAATAATATATCATAGTAAATGGGTTATTCCGGACCTTTTCCCTATGTTTTAATCATCCATAAGATATAAAATTTCAAATAAAATAGGAGTCTTTTAATAAAAGAAAGTGGTGCATAATTTGGTAGGTTGACATCAGACAGTCTTGTTCTTACTTTCCCTTTTCCACGACAGTCTTCAAATCTGTACAGAAATCTCCCTCCAATTGCTCCGCCCTACTATATCCATACATGCTGTATGCGTACTCATTGATGCTTGGTGTGTAGCAGAATTCGCTAGTAAAGATTCAAGATTTACGTGGTGAAATGAGAGGCGCAGATTTTAAGTGGTAAGTTCTAAAATATTTTACCTTTTTCACTGTAAAATCATAATTCAAGATTTCTGTTTTATTATATGTGTAATATGATATTCTGCCGTATCAAATTCTTACTTTATTGAGTATATTTGGTGTTGAATTACGATTTTGCAGGTATGATGGGTTTTTCTTGTCAATGTTAGCAACTAGTATGTATCCTTTCAATATTTAAATTGTCGAAATTGGAATTACCACAGTTGCTGAATTGGGTTCTCATCTTTAGTTTCATTGACTAGTATCTTGGTGTTCTTGTTTTTGAATTGTTTATCTGGAGTCTTTTTTTTGTTCTTTAACTGTTTGTTTATTAGAATCATTGTGGCGATAAATTGGAAGCGGTACCATCTTTGTATATACCCTTTGCACATTTGGATTGTGGTGAGTATCAAGACGTTTAATTGAATAACTATTGAATCAATGATTTGTTTATCTGATATTTGGTTTAGTAGTATATTTGGGAATACTCAGTTTTTCCCTTTTCCTGATCCAGGTTGACTACACAACGGTATTTCTTTTCCGGCTCTTGATGTTTGTTGATAATGGACTTGCTGCTGGAATGGGATTGTAAGGCATCCTCTCTATGATATAATATAATATAATATATATATATATATATATATATATATATATGTATATATATATGTATGTATGTATTTTAAATTTTCTTTGGAAAAATCAATTCTTGTCTTCTCCTTCAATCTGAGCTAATTTTAGGAGTTTTGCTTCACTAGGAGGCCTCCAATTTTGTTATCAGTGACTTAGCGTTACTGAGGTGGTTGATGATGTTCTCTTTTGTGCATATAATATGAATATCACCTAGAGTTGTTACTCTGATTGCGTCTAGTATCCTTTTTGAAGAAAAATAATTACATTTGATGTCCAATTCTTGCACCTTTTAGTCAAAAGCTCAGATTAATGGATGGAGTAAATTAGTTAGTGGTGTTTTATTAAATCCTTTTCGGGCAATATATGGATCTTATGGTCATTTCCTCGCCTCATATTAGTCATGGTTTCAGATAACAAGGACTGAATTCTAGGTGTTATTAAAATTTTAGGGATTTGGGTTGGCAGCAGAGATATACTCGCTTTCGTGGAAGAATAGTTGTTCTTTCACTTCTTGCCCTGTTCCTGTATCCCTTTCTTTGGGCTTGGACCATTATTGGGACTTTATGGTTCACTAGTGCGAGAAACTGTGTAAGTTCACGTAAGATTTCATTGACTTTAGGTGTTCCGGTCTGAAATCTTAAAACTGAATAATGTTGAATTCTTTCAGTTGCCAGAAGAAGGTCAAAAATGGGGTTTCCTTATTTGGTTGCTATTCAGCTACTGCGGACTCCTTGGCATAGCTTGCATATCAACTGGGAAGGTTAGTTTCCTAAACTACAAACTGTTTCAAGAAGTTTAACCAATTACCCGATTCAGTTTGGACAACTATGTTGCCTACCTCTTCCCAAGAAACAGATAAGCTCTAACAAGGACAGTAACGTTTAACACACCCCAATTTCTAATTCTTTCTTGAGGCAATCTTGTCGTCTGTACACAAATAGAAGTACAGTTTAACAAATGACACACATGCATTTGTATTGATATCGATACTATATCTATTAAGTTTCAAGTTTCTCTCTGCAGTGGTTAACTAGAAGACAAGCCCATTCATTACGTGCTCAACAAGGAATTCCTACTTCTGAATTCGGGGTATGCTTTAGAATCTATGTTGTATCAAAGCAACTATTTTGACATGCATATACATACAGGTTGTTCTTTCTTTATTTTATTATCACTTTTATTTTTTGCTACAATTTTGTTGTGACTCTTACAATCTGTCCATATTAACTTAATTTTGCCTTTAAGGTTCTTGAAGTTCCATTTTCTTGTCTGGATGTGAGAAAACAATGATTGTGGAATGCATTGATAGCATTGCTTTTGTACTTGTATGGGTGCTCCCATTTGATTTCAGAATTGTGGGCAGTGAAGTTTCCTAAACCGCCTTCCACCGGCCCCCTCACGTAAGCTATTAATAATTCAAAGGAAAAAGGAAATCAAAGGGGTATACATTTTTCTTATATCTCATGGGGATTAATGCACTTCAATGATATTCAAATTTATTTTGGTTTCTGAGTCTACTTATCTATGATTTGACCTGGGTCGGTAAAATTAGGTGTCGTCCAATACAAGGGAGAGATAACATGGATCTTTCTTGGTGCTTCCGTTGAAGTTTTGAGCTAGCTACTGTCTCAAAGAGCCACTTAAGTTGATGGATTCATATAGCTGACCCAACTAGTTCGGGATTAAGGCGTAGTTGATTGATTGAAATTTGTTGCAATTAATCTTATTAAGGTGCAAATGTAGACCTACTAAAAGAATGTGTCTGCAAGTAGTGCCTCTTTTTGAAGAAAATTTTAATGCACAAATGATTCAAGAATATGATGCATAAACTTAATCATGCCATAACTGATTTGAGCAAGAAATCAGAGTGCTTTTGGAAAATAGATTTATGGAAAGATCCTAGTACTTGTGCCACAAGAACTGCTACTGCACCTGTCTGTCCGTTCAACACATTAATGGTTGTGCTCTGTAGTTGTCGCTTTTATATTTCTACCGTTTTGGTTATGATGTCATGGTCTTGTGGATCTTGTTGTACAGTATCGATCTTGATAAGCATGTGACATTCTTGGTTAACTAATGGTCTCCTCTTAAGGTTCAGATGGCCATTGCGTTTCAAGTCTTCTTAGGACTAGGATGATAAAATTCTGAGTGGCCTTACACTTTTACCTCAAAAAAAAAAAAAAAAAAAAAAAAAAAAAAAAACAATTCTGAGTGGCCTTACTGGATAGTCACTATTTCCACTGGGAGATTTACAATTAAATAGAAGTGCTAGTTGTAAGATCTTTGGCATGATAAAATCTAATAAATCTTCACTCATTGGCAGTGCTAATAATTTTGTTTCGGTTAACTAATTTTAGGAAGACTTTTACAACGACATCAAGAATGAATTCAAATAATTTAAGCTATTCCGAATTTCCGATTGGCTTTATTTCTTCTTCTATACGCTAAGTGCAACTGGACTTTATGACTAACTTTAGGTTTGGTTTTGAACTTTGTAGTGTTGTCCCACATTGGTTGAGGGTATAGGCTGTAATCTCTTTGCATCGTCTTGGACATTCCTCACCTCATGAGCTTACTGCTGGGGTTGAGTTAGGTCCAAGATCCATTTTTTCTTAAAATTGGATTATCCAATGTTGGGCTCCCAGACCCATCCTTAATGTTTTGTTCTTATGTTATATTATCCACGCTCTAGACGCCCAAGCATGAGATAGTCCCACATTGGTTGAGGATATAAATTGTTGTCTCTTTATCGGCTTGGGACAATCCTCACCTCATGGAACTAACTTTTGGAATTGAGTTGGGACCAAGGTCAACTTTTCTTATTAACATAGTTTGACATCAATAATAGATTTGTTGATTTGCTTTTCATAAAATGATTTAGTAATTAGATATTTTTTTCTACTGACATGCTTAACATTTGTCTCAACACAGGTGTTGGTTGACATGATCAGAGTGCCAGATTGGACGTTTGCAGCAGCAGGCCAGGAGATGAGAGGAATGGGCCAAGATGCTACTTCATACCATCCAGGAGTTTATTTAACCCAAGCTCAGGTAATAACAATTTACTATCAACAGCTGGAACAAGCGCTCTTCATAAATATCCGTGCTACACTTGGTCAACAGAAGACCTTTTGTCTCCTCTTAAACTGGTGTTGTTTCTCTATTCGGCACATAGAGAGAAGCAGTGGAAGCACTTATTCAGGAACTACCAAAGTTCAGGCTGAAGGCTGTTCCTACTGACTGTAGTGAGTGCCCTATCTGTTTGGAAGAGTTTCGCGTGGGAAACGAGGTAACTGTGTCTTTTTTGTGTAAATACTACTTCATTGTACTTCCCTTTTAAAAAAATAAAATTTATGGTACACCCTTTTTCTTTCTTCATGTCCTTAAACATATTGCTCCTACAGAAGTTATTAACATTTTGTATATCATTCTCAAGGGTTTTCAAATCCATACCATGATGTATATCTAGCAAATTTAAAATTTACCACCTAGCCAATGATCTAGCCCTCTAATATATATGGAAGTCAAATTATTTCCGTAATATCCTTATGGAGTGGATTATATGTCATTGTGTGGGACTACTAGAGAAATGAACTAAAGGTACCTCATTTTCATTTAATAGTCAACTGATGAGAAAGGACGATTTGTTTAGGTTCATTGTAAGGTTGTCCCTGCTCTATTCGCTGATTTTTAGGTTTTGTGACTTAACAAAATTGCCTGTTCTTTATCGAAAACAGAATTGATTATTTAATAACTCGGCCTGCAGTTGATTATACTCGAGTAAGGGATCTCGAATATTGTGGTGGTTGAATGAATGCTGATTTAAGTTATAACTTATAAGCATAAATAGAGACATGTTTATTTCATGTTTCAATATGCTATCCCTATTTCCCTTTTAGCCCTTCTTGCGGTGTCAGAGAGATGGTAGCTCTCCTAGAAAGTCAACGCCATACCAGCATGATATTTTATGCTTACACAGCTTACATCCGTGCTCAGTTTAGGTGCTAGTGCCACCTTTTCTTACTACAAGATCATATGCAGGTTCGTGGTCTGCCTTGTGCTCACAACTTCCACGTGGAATGCATTGATGAGTGGCTTCGGCTAAACGTGAAGTGCCCTAGATGCCGCTCTTCTGTTTTCCCAAATCTTGATCTAAGTGCTTTATCAAATATCCGAGCTGACTTAGAGAATTCAACAGCCAACGTTGTGACAGAAGCTCGGTATATGAGATCTCAACCCTCCAGCCAGAGCTACCTGCTGAGATTGCAAGGTTTGCTCCGCCCAGTGCGCACGCAGGACGCTGGGGTGGGCAGTGAGGTAGATGCAACTTCAGGAACAGCTGAAAGCAGAAACCAAGCATTGACACCTCATCATCAGGGAAACATGGAGCCTGTACAAGTTGTGGTAGAACAGTCCCCAAGGGAGTAATAACCATTTCTTCTTTGGAGGTCCCTAACAGGCTGAAATGTCCAACTTGGTGATTTGTGGTAACTCCTAGCCATTGTTTTCTCATTGTAATCAAAATTCATGGATTGAAAAGCTAAAAATGCATTTGATGGAAGGAAATGTGTTGGCAATGATTTATACTCGTGGCGAGTTTGTTCTAGTATGAGCAAGTTTAACTGTGGCAATAATCTCCCGAACTCTCACTCCTATATGTTTGTTCACAACGAGTTTGATCCATATTAGCTTAAAAAATCTTGCGTAGGGTTTGTTCTGTGTTTTTTCTGTCAATGCTTAATTGTAGGATTTTATGTGTTGTACGGAAAACAGCTGGCTGCATGTTGATAATCAGCTCGATGCTATAAGAATATTGGATGTCCATTTGAAAATCGAATCTTAGTGATTACCCTTTGAAAGCACTTTTGGATGGTACTGAATTTACGAGGATCGTGGAAATCAATGTAGGGCCTCTGGCGTAGGATAAGTTAACATTGATAAGGCCATGGACTACAAGTAAATTGACACATGGTTGAGTATATGGTCCCACTAAAGCCATGGTTTCCGTTTAAATATAAATCTAAGCCACTCAGTATGATGTGTGTTCAAGTGTCGACAACTAATTTTGCATTTGCCATGACTGTACTGGAATTCAGATTATACTAAAATCCAGTGAATTTCTAATACTAAATGGTTTAACAAAATTAAAGTGAAATAAAAAAATATATATTATATATACACACACACACAGTGACGGTGAATAAAACAAGATTTATTTTGTACTCTAAAAATAATTGGGGTCACTGATTATTCTTCGGCAAGAGTAGGTGGCAGATACGGGGGGTTTATAAAAACACTTGTCTCCTGTTATTCTTTCTTTTATTTTGGATGCCTAGTAACAGAGAGAAATGCATCCTAAAATAAAATTTCTATTTCAACTCCAATCTTGTTCTTCGTATGAAGATGATGTTTATTTTCTTATAAGACATAGTACCTTTTAAATTATTTATAATCTATGACAAGTTGTGTGAATGCACATTCATATTCTTTATAACCAAAAGATCAACGTAGAGCCAAATGTTCTAACAACTTACAATTTAGAATTATACTATAATGGTTTTATACATCTATTCAATCGCTCTTCCCTTATTCACTAGACCACCTTTCTTCCAAACATTTTTCAAAAAAATAATTATTCTTAATATAAATATGAAGTTGAAATAAAAGTTATTTAATCATATATAGTATTTTTTTTTTCTCTCCACTTAATCATGTATAGTATTTTTTTTCTCCTCCCCCTCCAGCCAAGGGGCCAAATATGTCTTCAAATAAAGGAAGTATTGACAGGCTTCATGCCTGCCAATTTTCTATAAAACGCATGCTTATCTGCAACCACTGCTTTTGTCAGCTTATCCGAAGGATTTTCATCAGTGTGTATCTTCTCAACCTCAAATAATTTCTCTTCCACGATCATTCTTATTCAATGATGCTTTCTATTTATATGTTTGGTCTTAGAATGAAAAGTGGAGTGCTTGGTGAGACAGATGGCAATCTGGTTACCACATAATAAGATATATCTTGGTTGCTCAAAGTCAAGAGTATTAATAAACTCCTTCATCCATAATAGTTCTTTGGCACCTTCTTTGACAGCAATATATTCGGCTTCTGTAGTGGATAGAGTTATGCACTTCTGTAGTCTACCAAGAAACAGTCCCCCTGCAAAAGTGATCAAATAACCGAAAGTGGGTCTTAAATTATCAAGATTGCCTCCTAAATCAGAGTTTGTGTAACAAATAAGTTCAGGCTTGCCACTACCAAAGCACAGCTTCAAATCCGTAGTACCTTTCAAATACCTTATTATCCATTTTTTGCTTCCCAATGTTCCTTTCCAAGATTAGAAAGGAATCTACTAACAGTACCAACGGCATGTGCAATATCCGATCTAGTGCAAACCATAGCATACATCAAGCTACCAATGGCAGAAGAGTAAGGAATACAAGACATCTCCTTTTTATCTTTATCATTACATGGACTCTGACTAATACTCAGTTAAAAGTGTTTAGCAAGAGGAGTACTAACCACTTTTACATCTGTCATATTGAACCTCTTGAGTACCTTCTCAATGTATTATTTTTGGGGAAAAAATAACTCCTTTCTATCGATGTGTCGGTGGATTTGAATGCCCAAAATTTTCTTAGTTGGCCCCAAGTCCTTCATCACAAATGATTTGCTCAACTGCTTCTTAAGGACAGCAATTCTAGATTTATTCTTGCTAATAATAAGCATGTCATCCACATAAAGCAATAAAATAAAATCATCATCAGAGAACCTCTAGAAGAATACACAGTGGTCTGAAGAAGTTTTCTTGTACCCTTGTTTTTTTATGACAGATTCAAACTCCAAATACCATTGCCTTGGAGCTTGTTTCAATCCACACATGTTTTTTTTCAATTTGCAGACATAGTTTTCTTTTCCCTTAATTACAAAACCATCAGGCTGCTCCATATAAATCTCCTCATCTAAATCACCATGAAACATCTACACGGTGATGATCATTTTGGTCTAGATCATTATCTTCATTATTGTCTTGGGTTCCTTTATGTGCAATAGGTGCCTTAGCAATATAAACTGGATCAATATCAACTAAGCTCTTATTACTCTGAGAATCTATCTTCTCAACTTTGTCAATATCTTCAACAGTCTGGTCTTCAAAGAATATTGCATCACAACTTCTAATAAGTTTATTGTCAATTGGGATCATCAAAATGATGCCCAAACTCATATTGACCATAAATGATAAAGATGCACTGCTTAGTTTTGATATTCAGTTTCGATCTCTCATCTTTAGGAACATGCACACAAGCTTTACACCCAAAAACTCTCGGGTGATTATAAGAAACTTATTTGGCAAACCAAACTCTTTCTGGGACATCACCATTCAAAGCAACAATAGGAACAAGAGACAAATTGATAACATAAGCAACAGTATTAAGTGTTTTCGCCCAAAATGTATTTGGAACTTTAGTCTCTGAAAGCAAGCATCTAACTCTCTCAACTAGAGTTCTATTCATCCTATATACCAAACCATTCAATTGAGGAATCTTGGGCTGAGTTTTCTGATAACGAATTTCTTTTTTTTAATAGTTATCAAAAGGACCGCAATATTCACCACCATTGTCAATACAAATAATTTTAATTTCTTTTATGTCTGTCTCTCGTCTAAGGCTGAAATTCCTTAAACACACCAAGTGCTTGATCTTTAGATTTCAAAGGATATACCAAGAGCTTACGAGAATGATCATTAATGAATGTCACAAAATAAAGAGCACCACCTTTTGACTTTACTTTAAAAGGATCACAGAAATGAGAGTGTACTAGCTTTAATATTCGGGCTTTTTTGAAGGAGGATGGCTATAAAAAGAAACACTTTTCTGTTTGCCAGCAAAACAATGGGTGCACCTTTTCATCTTTGTTTGTTTCACTCCAGAAAGCAAACTTTTCTTAGCCAAATACGTAATCTCCTTCTCGCTTATATGACTCAATCTTTTGTGCCACAATTCTGATAAAGTATCACTTTCTACCAGATTTATGGAGTCATTAAGAATAGAGCTTATGTCATATATAATTGAGAAGACTTGACTCCTCGAGGCACTACTAATGAACCCTTGGTAAGCTTTCATAAGACATTAAAAAGGGCATTATATAACCTTCGTCGTCTAATCTTCATGCGGAGATCAAATTGAAAGGAAAGTTGGGAGCATGCTTGACATTTTGAAGAACTAACGTTGAACCATTATTAGTTTTCAAACAAATTGTATCAACACCAAACACCTTAACTTTACTGGCATTACCCATCTTTAACACTCCAGAATCAAAAGGAGTATAAGATGAGAAAAAGTCTTTCCTTAGTGTGGCATGTAAAGTAGCTCTAGAATCTACTATCTAGCTCATCTCACGGGATACCAAATTGATGACGTTTCATCATAAGCAAAAAGAAGGTCATCTCGAACAATAGCAACAACATTGTTCTCGTTATTTTCAACTTTCTTTCCTTCTCTAACGTCTTGCATCAACTTGTGGCAAAATCTTTTGATATGCCCTTTCTTTCCACAATGGTTATACGTAATATTATGGTATTTGAAACGTGACTTACTTCTGTTTTACCTCTGCTCCTCAAACCTCTTGTTCTATCTCTCCCCAGTATTCTATAATCAAAACATCTGCTTGTGAGGAAGAACACTGAGATTTTCCCCTTACTTTCTCATTCAATACACCACTCTTGGCATATTCTATGGTCACCTTACCACCAAGAGCTAGATTTGTCAAAGAACATGAAGATTTTCTCAAAAATCTGGCAGAGTATTAAGAAGCCAAAATCCTCGTATCTCATTATCAAAATTAACTTCCATTCCAGACAGCTGATCAAGGATGCCCTGAAAATCATTTATGTGATAAAGGATATGGCTGTCCTCCTTGTATTTAAAGGTCATCAATTACTTTAGCAAGAACAACTTGTTGTCCTAGTTTTTGAAGCATAAAGAGGCTCTAGCTTTTCCTACAATAATCTCGCATGTGTTTCATTCACAATATGGTTGCAAACATTATCTTCAACCCACTTTCACATATATCCACATACTTGCTGGTGCTGGAAATTCCAATTTTTATCCGATATGCTCTCGGGTTTATGAGCTGCAAAAAACGGGTAGATGTATCTTCTTCACGAACAACAAGTCTTTCATCTTGCTTCTCCAAACATTATAATTTCTCCCATTTAAACATTTCATCTTACTCATATTCGCCTTCATTCCGTAAAAGTCCTATATAAATAACTAAAGCTCTGATACCATTGTATGTCGAGGAAGAGGTAAATTCGAAAATAAAGAAGATAAAGAACACCAAAAATTAACATGAAAAAACCTTCAATTCACCAAGATCCAAAAAGCTCCACTATAACAATAAGATAGTTACAAAGTTCTTCAAATTAGCTACATAACAAGTTTCAAATATGGAGCAACAAAAGCAAGAAGAAATCAATTGAAGAAAGAGAAAAGGCCACAAAAATGGAGCTGTTGTTTGGGCCTCAAAATTGGATGCTACGAGTCTCTAAATCCAATCTCCATCGTTTCAGCCTGATCCAACGATTAATGAATCGGAAAACACGATTTAAAT